CAAGAGTCGTCGAATTCTCACCGATGAAAGTACGAAGAACTGTTTCCAATAGACTTGGAGACCAAGAAGAGATACCAAAGACGCGGCAGAGATATTTCGAGAAATGGGGAACGTGTACGTGTTACTCTGCATCGTTTCGAGACAACCAACTACCTCATCTACAGCAAACCAAAAAATTGTAGGAGATTATTCCTGTTTTATCTTAAGACTAGTCTCAGGTCTTTTTCGTCAGCGAAGCTGGAAGATTATTTCCAACAATTCCCTTCGGATACCACGTTTCGAAACTGCTTTTCTCAACCATCGCCAGAACTTCAACATCGGGATAAACACACCCGAATATTTGAAAACTCGTGAAAAATTCTTCGCCGCGATTGCCGAGTGACTTTTGTCATGCAAAACTCGATTGAAAACCGTGTGACGGGTGGAAAAATCATGGAAGGTTCTTCGGGAAAAGAAGTTGGCAAACAAGGATGGAGGTGTATTCGTTTGAGGAAAGCCGCGCATTTCCACGGCGCGAAAGTAGGCGAGAGTATTCTTAATGTGGAGGATCGGAACCTGGGCAACGCGACGGGGTGGCCGCAAAAACACCGGGCAAACAGTACGAGTAATCGAATTAGACGATTCGTCGCAGACAATTCCGGCAGGACAATGATATTTTAACCGAACGAGCAGTTGCCAGCTGCAAAACACCGAGCGTGAATATATCGGAGAACGCAAATAATCGGTCGTATCGGGCGAAATAAACCGAGCTGGGAGGTAAATCAACAGATACGACAGAGAAATCAGGGATATATAAGCGTGTATTGGCACGGCCGTTATATTGGAGAGTAACGGGTCCCCCATGATATCGGATTAATCGTCGCATGAAAGCTCAATCGATGGTATCCTGCGAGAGATGATTACTTATTTATGTAAATATTTGTAAATATTTGTACCTGCGACAGAGAGTGATTTCGCCATTGACGCCGGCGCGCCGGAATATTATCGATACGAAAGAACGAAGAAGGGGGAAAATGCCAGGCTAAATGGAAAAATCGTGTACGCGAGGATCGTTGGATCGCGACGATCCGGAAAGATGGAAAGATGAGAAGACGAGGCGCGAGAGAATTTCCTCTTCCGGGAGCGTGTCTTTTCATTTCTCTTTTCTCTCGCGCGAGAGCTCGCGTAGGAGCTTTCCCGCGGGAAAAAGAAAAGAAAAGAAAAGAAAAGAAAAAAAAAGAACAGAAACAAAGCGTAGAGCAACGTACAGACACAAAGCGTTGGCCGCATTATCTTTATCTATCCTTAGGCGAAATGTATAAATCGGTGTGATAGTAGCTTTTAAGTGACGCGTAGCGAAAGCGAGCGGGGAAAACGTTGGCCATTAATTACTATCCGTTGTAAAATTACGCTTAGGTATGTCGGCGATCGATTGTTGGCCACCGAGTTACATGCGGTCGTTTTTAAGAGCTTTGCAATAGAGGAAACGAAGGGATCAGTCGCTCGCTGTTCTCCGTTTTCGCGCGTGTATTTCATTTTCATTATGCATTTTTATTTAACTCTCACGATTTCACGAATCGTTCTTCGTTTTTCTTTTTCTTTTTTTTTTTTTTT